ATGCCCGCAGCCCTGGCGGCCTCCTGCGAGGACAGTTGTCCGGGGCCTCCTTGGAAAGGCCGTGGTGGCCGTCAGCCCCTGCCCCGGGTTCTCCCCGCGGGCCAGGCCTCGCCTCCCGAGGAGGACGCTGTGACATTCTTGTCAAGTGCTGCGTGCCCAGCGCTGTCGGTCATCGTGCACCCGTTGTCCTGTGTTGCCCCAACCCCTCCCCATCGGCGGGCAGCCAGAGGGCCGAGGCATGCAGCGTAGGCCTTGCTGGTCTTTTCATGCTGAGAGACACTGATCTTTTTAAAAAATATATATATTTTTTTATTGAGTTCAGAGAGGAAGGGAGAGGGAGAGAGAGATAGAAACATCCATGATGAGAGAGAATCATGGATTGGCTGCCTCCTGCATGCTCCCTACTGGGGATCGAGCCCGCAACCCAGGCTCGTGCCCTTGTCAGGAATTGAACCCGGGACCCTTCATTCCACAGGCTGACGCTCTATCCACTGAGCCACACCAGCTATGGCTTCAAAGGATTGTGGACCCAGAAAATAGGGAACATGATGCCACAGGGGTGCATGATCAGGATGGGCAACCAGAAACAGGACTGGAGTAGATCTGATGGGAAAAGGCTCAGGGGAAAGACAGGCCCAAGAGGATCAGGCTCAACTGTCAGTGGGTCTCGGCTGCGGAGGGGCTCAGGAGAGAGATGGGGGTCTGTGGGGTGTCTTGTCAGCTGATGCCCCCCCCTCCCCCCGACTGTTGCTAATTTTGCTCTGAGCCTCCGGTCAGCCTGCGATTCTGTCTCCTAGGTCTGATTGATGACTACAAGAACCTCCACGGCAACACCCCTGCCCCAGGCCCCTCAGCCTCTTGCCGCTGGCAGCCGCCCGTCTACAACAGCAGCAGGGCCTTTGGGGCTCGCTACCCTCGTCCCAGCCGGAGGGGCTTCTCCACGAGCCATGGGCCTTCGTGGCGCAAATAATCCCTCGTGAATTCTCCACGAGCCATGGGCCTTCGTGGCGCAAGAAATACTCCCTCGTGAATCGACCCCCGGGACCCTTGGGCCCACCTGGCACCTCCTTGGACCCACCCAGTGATTCCTTGGACCCACCCGGGGACTGTGCTGCGCACCCCACCCTTGGGGCTGGAGGCAGCCAGGACCCCACCCCCCAGCAGTATGTCCTGGAGAGGCAGGTCCAGCTCAGTGCTGACCAGAGCATGGTCATCAAGATCAAACCCCCGTCCCAGCCCAGCGTGGCTGGTGCTGCAGGTGCCCCCCGGGGCTCCTCGAAAGAATATGAGGACCCTCCTTGGAGTGACCGCAGGCCTCGGGGAGGGGAGGGCGAGCCCCCTGGTGGGCAGCGCCCGCCCTCAAAGCCAGGAAGGGCCAAGGGGGCCTACAGCACAGAGGACTGCCAGCTGGTCTGCCAGAAGGAGGCCGGCAAGCCCCGGGTGGTGAAGTCTGTGAGCAGCTTGAGCGACAGCCCCTCGGAGTCCCGGCGGACGGTCAGTGAGAGCGCCATTTCCGTCAAGGCCTGCCTCCTGCCTCCCCCCGGGCCCCAGCGCAGTGGCGTGGCCCTGACTGTGAAGGTGAGCTCGCACCCTGTGGCCAGCTGTGCTGCACAGCTCCTTGGGGACAGGAGAGCCGATGCCGGCCACCCCGATCAGCCAGCTCACTCTGGCTCTGTGGCAGGCCCAGCCCGACCAGCTTCTGGACCCAGGCAGGCCCCGGAGGCCTCGCTGCTGGTGTCCTGTCAAAACAACAAGTTCCGGAAAAACAACTACAAATGGGTGGCTGCTTCGACGAAGAGCCCCCGGGCCCCTCGCAGGGCCCTCAGCCCCAGAGCAGCTGCGGAGAACGTGTGTACATCGGAGCGAGCGGAGAAGCTGCAGCCCAGAGCCGACCCGGAGACCAAACCCAAGAAGCCGGCCGTGTGCCCCGCGGGGGCTCCCCGCAGCAAGTACAAGTGGAAGGCCTCCAGCCCCTCGGCCTCCTCCTGCTCCTCCTTCCGCTGGCAGTCGGAGGCTGGCAGCAAGGACCATGCCTTCCAGCTCTCTCCAGTCCCTTCTAGGTCCCCCCCGGGGGACAAGCCAGCAGTGGGACCCAGTGGCTTGAAGCCCCTCTTCAGTGAGGCCTCAGGGCTCTCGGCTTACAAAGTGAAGAGCCGCACCAAGATCATCAAGAGGCGGGGGAGCGCCAAGTACGTGTCCCGGCCGCACGGGTCCTGAGTGGGCAGCGGGGCTGGGCCCGGCACCCCCCTCCTGGTGACTCAGCTGGTGGGAGGGCCCGCCTGCAGTGATGGGGGAGGGGGAGGGGAGGTGAAGCATCACTTGCCGCCTCCTGGTCTCTGCCTGGTTGAGCCTGAGTGAGAGGGGAGCTTTGTTAGGGATGAGGCCGGGCTGCTGCTGAGTGTGGGGGCTCGGCAGGGGCAGGGCCAGGCAGGGCAGGTGGAGGCTGGTGCCAGCAACCCCCCTTCTGCTGGAGAGGCTTCTGGGCAGCTTCCCTCTGGGCCCGGGATCTGTGGGCAGGAGGCTCTGTGCCTGGCCCGGTGCCGGCTAGACACACGCAGGGTTGTAGTGTGTCTGTGGGAGGAGCTGTCCCCCCTGGGAGGAGAGCTGCCCACGGTGACCTCGTGTCCCCTCCCAGCCTCCACCCTGTGGATTGAGGAGGCTCAAAGATGGCACATGGCCTGGCGTGAGGCCTGGGGTCAGGTGGCTACTGCTGGCCATGCAGAGGGCCTACCTCTGCCCTCAGACATGGCGCATGCCCATCCTCATGTGCGTGCCCCTCTGCAGGTCCTTCCCACCGTCTGACCCTGGATGACCCCATCTTTTTCTGGATGGTGGCAGCCTCTGTGTCAGGAGGGACAGGAGGAGCTGTGGGAACAGCCCCTCCTGCGGAGAAGGCGGGATGCGCCTCTGCACACCCTGTCTCTGCCCCCACCCCAGCTCCTCTGGAGGCTCTTGGCCTGCGGAGGGGAGGAGACAGACTGGGTGGGGCCAGGGCTGGGTCACTCTGCTCTGCTCCCCACCTGCCCGGCTCGGATCCTGGGATCCTCCCGCTGTGGCTGGGAGCCTGCAGGCCTGGTGCTGCCGAGGCGGGAACTCCTGGGGCTCCGTCGGCTGCCTCCTGGGGCCGATTCCATGGGGCTTCCATGGGGCTCTATCCGAGTGGGCTGGGGGGTCACCCTCCGTGGGGAGGGCCTGTTGAGAGCTGCCGCTTTGTCTCCGCAGCCTTCCTGGGGACAAGAAGAGCAGCCCCCCGCCAACTGCCACCGCCAAGAGCCAGTTCAGCCTGCGCAGGAGGCAGGCCCTGCGGGGGAGGAGCGGCCCTGTCCAGAAGAAGACCCCCCCCAAGGGCCTGATGCAGGTCACCCGGCACCGGCTGTGCTGCCTGCCTCCTGGCCGCACCCACCTCCCCCTCAAGGAAGGTATGAGGACAGGAGGGGCCCTGGGAGGGGGCTCTGGGAAGCCTCAGCTGGCCCCACGCTGGCCCAGCTGCATTCCTGTTGGTGGAAGGAGTGGGAAGTGGAGGAGAGGGTGGCTGCCCAGCTGTCCTGAAGGAGGAGGCCTGGGAGGGCCGGCTCTGCCTGCTGAGCTGAGTCACTGGTTCCTGGCCAGCCTGAGGGGAGCGTCGTGGGCATGGCCCGCTGTGAGGTGCTGGCAGCACACGGGGGACTGCTGGCACGGGCGGGCGGGGCTCGTGGTGGAGGTCTGGGGCCGTGGAGAGTGGGCACGGGGGAGGCAGGGGTCACTCGATGCCGCCCTGGAGAGCCAGGCTCCCCCCCAACGCCCACCACCGGGCGCACTGGTCCTGTGGGTCCTCTTTCCCTCCCCTTGGAGCAGCGGGGAGCGTGTGGTGGGACTGCCGGCCGACGCCTGTGAAATACGGAGGCAACAGGGTTTGGGGCCGAGCAGGCGGGGCCCCAGGCAGTTTGACTTGGGACTTGCGCCCACTGAGCGGGTGGAGGCTGCGCTCTCCTCTCAGGACTGTTGTGCCAGGGCCCAGCTCGGCTTGGAGGAGGCTGGCGGGCGCCT